CCGAAATTTAAAATAAACAAGGGGGAAAAGTATCTTAAATTAATTCTAAAAAAAATAAAATGAAATTTATTGCATGGAATTAAAGTAAATACTTTATTTTCTTGGCATAAATATGTAAACGAAAATAAATGTATAATTTATATGCCTACTGGTATGTTTATACTAGCGATTGCATTTTGATTCCATATGTTAAAATAAAAGAAACTATATTTTCAAATTTTTAATTTTAAAATTCTTACATCAGGTATTCTATATACCATGTTAAAGTAGCGAAAATATTTAAAATTAGGGCTATATTTAATTTAAATGATGTTACACGAACTAGAGAATTATGGCTAACACGTATTTACGTGTTGTATTATATTTAAAATTTTGTCACACAAAAATATGACGAGAAACTTTCAACCTATTTCGACAATTGCGTGGTTGCGGCCGAAGTTTTCATCTGTAAAACGTGAACGTCGAACGTCGAGCGGCCCTCGACGTTCGACGTTTACGTTTGACGTTCACGTTCGACGTTCACGTTTGAGAGATGAAAACTTCGGCCGCAACCTCATTAATTTTCAAAAATTCTTACAAGTGTTGCCAATTAAAATCTTTTCTAGAATTTCCAGATAAATACTTACTCTATAATTTACCGAATGACAATTTTCATTGGAAAAAATATAGAAAAAAACTTATCTACATTTTTCCAACTGAACTGGTGTTAAATGTTGTCTATCCAGTTTCGACTTTACTTTTCATCGTTTGATAAATTCCCTTTACCAAATGGTTTTAAAATACACACAAGTTAAATCAACTAAGATAAAAGTCAACATAAAATAAGAGTCAATAATCACATGATTATTATTACCTTGACCCGTTTTGACAGTCAAAAAGTAAATTTTTCTCCTATTTATTTCAAGTATGCTACTTCTATATAAATACAGAAACGCCTAAGAATTAATTTTTAATATAAATAACACCCTTAATATTAAAATAATAATCATTTTTTGGTAAAAATTCTTAATTAAATTAATTCAAAAAATTTAAATATATATATATTTTTATCACTATAAAAGTATTGTCCTATATAGAAGGGTTTCTTAAATTGTACCTTGTTAAATGCCTATCAAATTTAATACAAGAAAACTAATGATTATTCCTCCTTGTAGTATGGATTAATGCTATTTTAGTTGAATAACAATAGTTAAATAGGGTCATAACCGAGGTTAATGCATAGTGTTTTTTTGATTATGTTGACCTATTCTGGATGAAATTTCATAATTTCTAAAAATTCTCATTGCAATTCATTTAAAAATTTATATTCTTAACCACACAAAATGTTCATTTGCTCCTACACAAATGTGTAAAATAAATAAATAAATAATATTTTTAAAATTGAAATTAGTTTTGTAAATTTATAATATATTTTTCTTATTTTTTTATCCATTTTATAAATAAGAAATCACATTTAATTGGATTTTACACGAACGACTTCTTCAAGATAAACCTGTTACACTTCTTTATTATTCATTTGTGTTTATTAAATTTAAATTGCGTGGAATATAGCTTTCGGCAATTTATTTAATAGAAAAATTTATTTTCTGTAACGTATCTCGTATATCACGAACCCCTTTCCCTCTCTCTCTTCATTTGTTAAAGTCGCTTTCCTTACTCGCTCCGTTATGCAAATTAACTGGATTTCCTCTTTGATTTAGAGAATTTCGTGTGGAAAAGTTAATGGTGTTCTTTAATTCGCTGTTTTTTTTCAATTATTGAAAACGTTAACGTTCGAAACATCATTATAAATGCTAATAACGAGTAAAATAGTCATTAAGTCCGACCCTACTCGAGATACGACACACGACCTCCCTTTATCTCCCTACTCCCTCGACCTTTAACCACTAAAATTTAACAGAATCATTCTCACTAATACACAAACATTCCTGCAAAATTTCAGAAATTTTCGACAAAAAAATATAGGAATTATTAAGCTTCAAACAGGGTGCAAAAATTTTCCAATACATTCCATGCAATATTAATTCGTTGCAACGTTCCATAAACGTTAACGTTCTCTAAAGTATTCCATAAAATAATTAACATTCTCTAACGTTTCGGAAAATGTTAACATTCATTAACATTCCAGAAACGTTCACGTATCTGGAACGTTTAAAAAAGACACGAACTTCCTGAAACGTTCTCGAATTGCTCGAATGCCCCCCCCAAAAAACGTTCGAACTGTTCGAAAAGCTGGAAAAATTAACAATTTCTCAACATAATCATTAAAATCGTTGGCTTTAAACGCATTTTTAATACGGAAACGTTATTATAAAAGATGTTTCGAAATAAAATAACGATTATTAAAAGCTCCAAATCGGGTCATTGTTTAAAACATTCAGTTGAGAATTCTTTCCTCTTTCTAAGAAAAACGACGTTAGACCATTGTGGCTTGGGTTTAATTATAAATTACTTTCACTGGGAATTACACAGATCGAGCGATAGGTGAAATGATAAATGCAAGTAGGAAAATTTGGAAACTGAACTGCGGATGTCAACAAGCCAAGGATAGAAAAACAAAGCAGATCCTATCCTACCGGTTGGATTTCGTTCAAATATCTATTGACGTCGTCCTTGACATCTATTATGTTTTATCTATCGATAGAATTAGTACTTTCAAGTAATGCTCCGAAACATTCTAAAAACTCCAGTTACTGAACCTGTTTACAAACATCTGTTCAACACTTCGCTTGGTGCAAAAACTGCAATTGAAGAAGTCTTTCTTCAGTTATTTCTAATCTTCTCAAAATTATTCCAAAATCGCTTGAAAAATCGCAAATATTCCAAAAATACTCAGTAGATATCCCAAAATCGCTTGAAAAATCGCAAATATTCCAAAAATACTCAGTAGATATCCCAAAATCGCTTGAAAAATCGCAAATATTCCAAAAATAATTTTTAATCACGTTTAATCGAAAATTAATGAATTCCTATAAAAAAATTGAATATTTATATAAAGAAATTACATCTCTTCGACGTGTCAAGTCTCACGAGTATTGAAATTAGTTACTAAGAAATTATATAAAAATTTTTTCCTATTTAATCATTAAACAACTCACTTATGTATATTAATAAATTTAATAAAAAAAATATCTCCATGATTTATTATAAAATTAATGAATTGTCTAACACTTAATTAATTTTAAAAGTTACTTTCAAAAAATACATATATTATATGTCTAGATATTATACTATTTTTTTTTATTTATTTTCTATGAGGAAAATTTATTAAAATGACAATCTCATGTTGGAATTTATTAGCAATTAAACGTATAAAAAAAAATATTCTTTTTTCTTACACGCGTATTGAAATAGTTATATAAATTATTTAAGACAGATGTTCGTAAATCACCTGTCAAGTAATTTCTTCACGTAAAACATGGCTTTAAAAGGGGGGAGACAGTATTAAAAACAATGGATTTCTTCTTGGAAATATGTGAGAAGAATCCAAAATGATTCAAATAAATCACTTTTCTCGTCTATCGATCAAAATAATTCAAAAAAATGTCCTCGAAAATTTGATTTTTTGATATTTCTAATAAGCTTAAGTACAGAGACGAACAGAGGGGAGCAAATTTAGTAAATTTCCCTTGGCTCTAAGATAGTAGGGGCCCTGCACAATTTTCGTTTATTTCTTTAATTTAATAATCTAATTTAGTGTAGGGCCTCCAAGCCCTATGAAGGTTCTAACTTAAATACATTTATCAAAATAATAATAATAGATATACAGTCGACCCCCGTATAAGATCATTGATTATTCCGTTTTATATGAATTCCATTGTGCACGAGTCACTTAAATTTTACAAATACGTGAGCCGTTCACAGCCCGGTACATGTATTTGTAAAATCTAAGTGACTCGTACAACATGGAATTCATATAAAACGGGATAATCAATGATCTTATAGGGGGGTCGACTTGTATTGCCTACAATGTATTTAACACATAAAGTCAAATATACTGTATTTAAATGAAAATTCTTTCGATTTTTTGCATTTTTTTTAGATTTGGTGAATGTTTAGAGCTTCTAATAACATAAAAACGTATAAAAGGAGCGTATAAAAGTAGGAAGAGATAAATAAAATTAGATATGACGACTTAATTATGCATTCATTTAGTTAGGTCATGATTTTTACATTAATGGTAATTACAGTGTTGTTGTATTCGAAAAATTTCATTTCGACTAACGGAAATTTTAATAGAAGTAGATTTAAAACTTCTCCTCAGTCTAAAAAAGAAAACAATTACCTTTTTTCCATTATCTACATCAGATTACTGTTGTTGTACAAAATTGTATTTTATCAAACGTAAAAGAAATAAATCACAATCTTAATCAATTTATCGATCACTTAACTGTATTTAACTTTACGTAATAGATTTTTTTTTTTGCACATTTTTTGGACCGCCAAAAAATATTTAATAATTGAAACGACCTTGAGAAGTCATAAAAGAATAATAAATAGACGTGAAGGACGAAGGTCAAGTTCTCAGTTTTACGTATTTATTTCTTACTAAAACAGAATTTATTTTATAGTTTCAAAGAAAAAAATAACAACACCTAATGAATAGTTAACCTTGTGTATTGTTACTGTTATTTTTAAGCTAATTAATTTAAAAAAATAATAGTTTATTCGAGTCTTTTTACAAGGGAGGAAACTCATTAAGGCTGAGTAAAAATCACCAAAAAAAAAAAATTTTATAAGTAATAAGTTCATACTCTATAAATTCCTAACACAGTCTATTAATTTAATTAATAATCTTTATGGATTCTATATGGAAATTATTATTATATATATATATTATTTTTTTTTTGTTGGAAGAGATAAAATCCCAGATGGGAATGATTACTTTTAGACAGGTGCTCTACCACTTTCTTCTAAAAAGTACAACCCGTCTTTCAACGCAAGGTTGTCAAGTACCGTTACCTATCGTTCCGTCACCTAATTTTCCCATAACACGTGACCGTCGGTAATTTTTTGGATTGGTGGGAAGTTTACGTACCGTTATCACGCAGTCGAGACCCAGTTATTAGAGGAATAACATAAAATTTACACTCTTCTCTCCATTCACAAAAACTTTTACACCATTCGCCGATGATCCGTTGTACCACTTAAATATGTACGTCTTCTGGTGTAAAATATAATTTTTTTAATATGTTTTATGTATATTAATACTATAGATTATTAAAAGGATACACTATAAATATGGTAAGTTACACTATTTTTTTTTAACGTTTTTTTTTACTCGTCTTCTCCATCTTCTTCTTCGTTACTCCTTATTGTAAAAGATTTTTTTTTCTGGTGTAATTTACTGTTTTGAATGTTTTTAAATATATTTTATTACTTTAAAAGTGTAATTGAATCTAGGCTAAATAATAACTTTTGTGTCGGCACCTGACCCGAGGCAGAAGTTCTCTATAAAGTTTCCTGTTGTTGATGATTTTTATTATCCTTTTGTCTTCTGAAAAATGACCCTAAACGAAAGTAGTTCGTGTAGTTTATTAAAAAAATAAATAAATTTACTGATCTAATTTCTCTTAAATTACTTTCTAACTGAATAAATTATCATTAGATTGTTGAAGATTAATGAAGGTTTTCATTAGAGATGTTGTTGTATTCGTTTCTATTTAAATATATATTCTTTTTATGTTTAAAAAAAAGGGTTGATTTTACATTGCAGTATTGTCATTCTTCTCTTTGGTATTTAACATATTTACGAAAAGCACGCTATTACTACTTCATTGTGGCGTAAAGTAGGACGTGGATCGAGTTATAACTAAAGTATACAGATGTCGAAACGGTTTACGACAATTGTCATTAATAATGGTTATTTATTTATTTTAAAAGAATAGTTAATTTTAAAAGAAAAGAGAAAAAAAATCCTTAATAATTTAAGATTTTATATACGTGATAAGTTTATTTAAAGGTGAACAATTAAAGAAAACTCTGGTTTTGTTCTCCCCCTTTAGGAACTTGTTTCCATTTATATTGTCTAAGAATAAATAGTATATTAAATCTGTAAGATAAATAAATATAGGCCAAGGGTAATTGATTTTTTTTATTTATTTATTTGTTTCTGGTATATTTTTTGATATTAATATAATAAAAAAGAAGCTTTAAATGTTCAGAATGGAGTGTTGTAAACACTAAAAGTATACAGAAAAGTAGTGTAAAGTTTGAGTTAAAGAAGCAATTTATTACGTTAAACAATACAAATAAATTTAATCCCGTGTTTTAATTATGTAAAGTTTATGTTTCTTGTATATAAAAATTTGCGAGTGGTAATATCTGTTTTGAATACGTCATTAAAAACATCGATTATATCCGGAAAAAAGACCACTTTAGAAGAGATAAAATTATTTTGTGTATCACGATTAAACATTTAAAAATCCCATCGTGACACGTGTATAGAAAAAGAAAAAAAGATCACGAATAAGTGATTGGAGAGGTTCTAAACTCGATTCATCTACAGAAAAGGGGTCAAGGCTCAAACGACGTCCTCTCTACAAAAGTGGTCATTACGTATAATTGCACAAGTGGAGTGTAAAACTTTCATCAAATACAGAAAACAATACTTTTATACTAGTAAAATGTAATTGCATACGTTGAAGATTGCATCTTTGAAGATTCAAAGGATTCGAATTCCGTCACGAATTTCACTTTCACTAACAAATTGTATACTTTGTAACGTGTTTGTAAATGATGAAAAGATTCTTTTAATTCTTTTTTTTTTTTTTATTTCTTCAACTCTATACTTTTCCTGCTGGGGTACGAGTTCTCTTACCTTTTCCTCTACTCGTAAATGATTTACTTTTTTAATATCCGGTTATGTGGGAGAAGTTCATTTTCTCAGAAACCTGCTTGACCTTGTCGAAATTTCCGAAAGAACGATTTACTGTAATACATCTTGTTTTTTTTTTACTCTCTCGTATACAAAGATGTAACAGTTTGATAACCGTTCCGTGAGAATTGGGTGAATGTTCATCTTTAGTTCTCTTATACCTTTAGTGAAAGCTTTACTCTATACTAAACCTTCCTATTTACACGATGTTTTAAAGGGGGTTACGTTCGAAAGTGTACTAAACACGTGTTAGATATACACACCGAAATATTCATTATTTAATTAGTATGGAGTTCACGCTAGTAACACGCCTTCGTCACTTGTTAAAAAGCAAATTATTCGTATTCAGAAATTGTCTAGAAAGTGTAACAAGGTCATCAACTATTCTAAAGTTTTGTTTTCCTCAAGGCGTTGTTGACTTTCGAACTTTCTTTTCTTATTTTTTAATAATAATAACTTGATAAGATGTGATATATTAGAGTGTTTTTAATTGCGGGGTGGTTTTAGGAATTTCTAACCAAGCATATTATAAAATATTTAAGTTAATATTCCAGATAGCTTCGTGGTACTTAAAACCTGTTGAGTTGAATAAAAAAAAAAGGAAAAAGAAACCAGACTATCGATAATAATCTAGAGCGAAGTCATGCTGTTGAGTAGAATGAACATTTTATGAGATTCTCGATAACGTTGTTGATCCCCCCCTTGATATGTAACGTTCTGTCTTGAATTAATCTCTTAAAAAACACCTCTTTTCTCTCGTGATGTGAATAAAATATTATATATATATTTTTAAAAAAATACATAAATATTCTTCGTACGTTAACAAATTTTGACGTATTTTATCGATTGTTAAACATGATCACACCAGTTAAACACGATCAAATTTTTCTAATCTTTTGTTTTATTATTATCAAATTGTTTCTTGTGTAAGTATTTTTGTAATCGTTCCTCTAAAATTCTCAATGTTTTAGTAATTATAAAGCTTTTTATTAACCTTAATAAACGTTATTTTATTCCAGACAAAGGTAATTTTATACGTAATATTATTATTCCTTTCTGTGGTCGTTAATCATCAGCAATTTGCAAGTAAGTTGGAAATTACTTTATGTAATAAGAAAATAATTTAGTTTATATATTTATTATAATTTCATTTAATTTTTAAGTAGAAAAAAAAATAAAATAAATGCTTTTCTCTCGAGGAAAATACAGGTATTCGCATTGTAGAATATAAAGGAAAGTAGGGCACAAACTTTTATCTAACGTCAAATCTTTACAGATATTATCCTGAATTTTCATTTATATAGAATAAAATAACTTAAAGATTTAAGTTAAAGAAAGGGTGTGCCGTATTTTACGATTAGTAACGAAAGTAAATTGACGGATAGTTCTGTTGTAACGACTTATCCATTGAGTAGAAGTATGAGAGAGAGAGGACGTTGACAGAAGAAAAATATATAATTTTTCTTTGATTTGTCCTAAAAATTTCTTATTTTTTAACTTATTCTTCGATGTCCCGATTAGTGAAGCTCACTTATCATCCATCAAATACGAGTTAAACACAATAAAATTGAAGAAAATCAAATCTTTTATCTATTCATTTGTAAACAGATTAAACGTAACGATAATTGAAAGCAGACCCTTTTTTTCTTTACTTCATTTAACAATAAAATAACATATTTAGGTCAGTTACGTAATGTTTGGTGAGATAATTACAATTAAAACAAGAGTTAATTAAGACGTTAATTACACTGACCTATCTTTCTTACCTTTTGTTTACTCGTTACTTAATCATATTGTTACACCTTTAGATGCCGGCAGAAATGAGAAAAAGATCGTTTGTTATTACACTAATTGGTCACAATACAGACCAAAAATTGGACAGTTTTTTCCAGAGGATATCGATCCTCATTTATGTACCCATTTACTTTTTGCATTCGGATGGATGAAGAAACATAAAGTATCGGCTTTTGATCCCGCCGACATCACTAAAAATGGAAAGAAGGGAATGTACGATAGGTTAACAGAATTAAGAGAGAAAAATCCACGTATGAAAGTATTACTCGCTGTCGGTACGTATTTATTATTATAATATACAAATGAATTATATATTAGTTCTGTTAGAACAATTATCCAGTGTTTAATAAAATGGATCGTAATTTTACAGGGGGATGGTCGTTCGGAACGGAAAAGTTTAAAGACATGGCAAAGAGTCAATATAACAGGCAACTTTTTATATTTAGTGCCTTAGATTTTCTACGAGAACATAATTTCGACGGTTTAGATCTAGATTGGGAGTTTCCTAGAGGACCCGACGACAAAAAGAATTTTGTATCCTTATTAAAGGTAAATAAAACATTTAAAAAAAAAAGATATAAAAGTATATAATATTAAAATTAATTTTAAAAATTCTATATAGGAATTAAGAGAAGCATTCGAAGAAGAAGCTAGAGAAACGAAACAACCGAAATTATTACTAACTGCTGCTGTATCTGCAGGTGCAGAGGTTGTCAGAACAGGATACGATATCCCAGCTATTGGAGCGTAAGTTGTGAATAATTTTCCAACTATTTTGCTTATAACCTACTTTAATTAACTAAACACGTGTTTCTGTAGGTATGTAGATTTTGTCAATGTTATGTCGTACGATTTCCATGGAAAATGGGAGAGCCAAACTGGACATAACAGTCCTTTGTATGCTAGCAAGAATGAAACAACTTGGAGGAAACAACTTTGTTTGGTAACTTTCAGCAATTATTAACATAGAAAAATCTTTATTGTTTTAATAAAATATTCCTAACCTATATACAAATAAAAACTGAAAATATTTTTAAAATTATTCAGGGTCAAATTTCAGATTTCCTCAAAGATCTAAAAAAACTTTTTCTAAAATATTTTTTTTTTTCCTCATTTATTTTTTCCAATGTATCAAAATGATGGATATTTTTATATATTCATAAGAATTTTCCTTATTTTTTAATAGATTATATCTCCTTACATTCTTCATACACCACCAAGGGGTACCTTCATTTATAAAACAATGACCTACATTTTATTTTAGAATATTTTTACTGATTTAAAAAAAAAAAAAAAAAATAGAACTAATAATGAGTAATAAAATTATATTTATTTTCTTAAATTTATTGAGGATTTTGGTGTAAAAATGTGGGAAAGATTGGGAACACCCAAAGAAAAGATCGTGGTCGGAATGCCCACTTATGGTAGAAGCTTTACCTTATCTAATCCTAAACAACATGGCTTCAATGCTCCTGCAATTGGAGGAGGAACAGCTGGAGAATATACGAGAGAAGAAGGTTTCCTCAGTTATTACGAAGTGAGCCATTTTTCTTTACATAAAAGTTTCATATTTTAAAGGTTTTTATCTAATGTAACAATTCCTAGATATGTGATATGTTGAAAAAAGGAGCAACATACGTCTGGGACGACGAACAGAAGGTACCATACTTACACACTGGAGATCAGTGGGTTGGATTCGATGACGAGAAGAGTATTCGATTGAAGGTAATTTTTGATAAACAAAGGAGTAAATTTCAATTATATATATATATATTTGTAATATTTCTTCTCTATTTCTTGATAAAATATAAATTTCTGTAATTATTTTTAGGCCAGGTGGGTGGTAGAAAATAACTATGCTGGAGCAATGGTCTGGACAGTAGACATGGATGATTTTAGAGGTATCTGTAATGGCAAGAGTTATCCTTTAATATCTGCTATTAAGGAAGAACTCTTAGGAAAATCTAGTAGGTCCGTGTCCAAGAGTTCTCGTGTATTTCCTACGAGAAGCCAAAAATTTCCTATAAGAAGAGTCACTGTTAATTTAAAACCTACTACCGAGGCACCTGAAGTAGTGGAAGTACCAGAACCTGGTATTTACGCAAAATTTAACTAATAATAGCTTCAATCAATAATTTTTTTTTACTAATATTTTGTTAATTTCTACTAGAAACGAATGCTCGAGTGGTTTGTTATTACACGAATTGGTCGACAAAAAGACCAAAGAAAGGAAAATTCTCACCAGAAGACATCGAGCCTTTTCTTTGTACACATATTGTTTACGCATTTGCCGGAATTCAAGATAACAAAATATCACCAACAGAAGAAGAAGACGTCTCGGATGGTTATAGTCGTGTAATAGATCTGAAGAAAAAAAATCCCTCTTTGAAAGTACTTTTGGGAATTGGTGGATGGATGGTTGGATCGGCTCCATTTAAAAACCTGACCGAAACGGGTTACAGGTAGACTTTTTTAGAAAACAATTACATATTTTTCAGGAAGAATTGTTTAATTTTCTGAATTATTCACCTTCCTTACAGGAAGATGTCATTTATCTTCAATGCAATGGAGTTTTTAAGAGAACACGGTTTCGACGGTTTAGATGTCAATTGGGAATTTCCACGTGGAGCGGAGGATAAAGAAAAATATTCATCTTTTATTAAAGTATTTAATAAATTATAGTAATATTATAATTCTATAATATATATAAAATGTTTATAAAATAAATAATTTACAGGATCTTCGATTAGCTTTCGAGGGGGAATCAAAAACTTCAGACAAACCAAGATTACTTCTTTCGGCTGCTGTTCCTGCCAGTTTCGAAGCAATTGCTGCGGGTTATGATGTAACAGTTATAAATGAGTAAGAATTAATCCTTTTTAATAAGTAATAAATTTAAAAGTAAAATCTAGGACAATCTGATTATTCTTCTCTAAAATTCTTTTTAGATACGTGGATATGTTGAATGTATTAACATACGATTTTCATGGAGACTGGGAACGACAAGTAGGACATAACAGCCCTCTATTTTCTCTAGAAAGTTCCAGCGATTATCAAAAAAAACTTACAGTGGTGAGTTAAATATTTTGATTTACTCTCACGTGTTTGATTTTTATATATTTTTTTAAAATGTATATTGGTTTAACCATTGTAGGATTTTAGTGCTAGCGAATGGATAAAGAAGGGTGCATCGAAAGAAAAATTAGTTATAGGTATGCCGACATACGGACGTACTTTTACGTTGACTAATCTCACTCTCACCGACATCGGTGCTCCTGCCAAAGATGGTGGCAAACCGGGAAAATATACTAGAGAATCCGGTTTTCTAGCATTCTACGAAGTAAATATATATAAATTTAACGAATATTATAGGAAATTTTGTATTGTTTTCTTTAAATTAAATTTTATAATTTTCTAGATATGCGACTTGTTAAAATCTGGTGCCACTTTGGTATGGGATAACGAACAAATGGTACCATACGCTTACAAAGGTGATCAATGGGTTGGATTTGACGATCAAAGAAGTTTTAAATCAAAGGCAAATCACTTTACAAAGTTATTTATTTATATTTTATTTAATACAGTATTTGTAATTAATATTCGAAGAAATTATATTTTACGAATAGGTAAAATGGTTAAAAGAACAGGGATATAGTGGAGTCATGATTTGGTCCGTAGATTTGGATGACTTCAGAGGATCTTGTACGGGGGAGAAGTTTCCATTAATCAAAACAATTAAGGAAGAGTTGAAAGGTTATACAGTTGCCAATTTACAAGCTCAAAGTAGCAATGTTCACAAGACTTACGGTCAAGCTGTGGGTGAGTATTACCAATTATTGAAGTGTTTTAAGAAACTACAGAAAAATCCCTTTAAAAAATACATAAATGTAATGATATTTACTTTACAGAAGAAGTGAAAGCAGTAAATTGCAACGAAGAAGATGGACATATTAGTTATCACTCGGATAAGAAAGATTGCACAAAATATTACATGTGCGAAGGTAGAAGAAGGCACCACATGCCGTGTCCACATAATTTGGTGTTTAACGAAGACGAAAGCGTTTGCGATTGGCCAGAAAATGTACCGGGTTGTTACATCACCGGATAAAAACCCACCTAATAAAATACAGTATAAGTAATGTTATCAACAACGTAAAATACATGTAAAATAGTAACGCAGACATTAATTAAAGTGTCGCACTTTTAACCAAGTAGAATTTATTCGGATGTATATTTATAAATTTGTTCGTTTAGGCACTCTGTGCCATATATATATATTTTTTTTAAACGGAATTAAATTCGCCTAAACGTGATTACTTACTGATATTTATGGACTTATATACAATATAAGTCCATAATTTTTTTTTACATATTATTTCAATAACTTCTATTATTTTTAAGCTTGTAGACTGTAAAAAAAAGAAAGGAACTTAGATATTATTTGTTTATTAATTTTTAAGTTATAAAAACATTTGTATCCATTTAAAGAAGAATTGTGTAAAATATTAATTAAATTCTTTAAGGGAAAGAAATGTTAATTTTCAATAAATTAACCCATCCTTATTTGGATAAAACAAGTAATTTTATACAATTTATCAATAATATTTTATGGGAAAAAAATTCAAAATTGTCAAAAATTTAATTTTTATTTTTACAAAATGAAGAAATTCTTCTTCAATAGTTAAGGACAATCCTGTAAATTTCTGTGTCCTAAAATCATCAATTTTGTATGGAAAATCTTTGTATTTGGGCACGTATTTATTGCAGAAAGGGTCCAACAATTTAAAAGCATTGTTTCTGAAGTGTTCGAATGCTTATTTTATCAATTAAGCACACTTTACTAAGAGACGGGGTAAGATGACGAATACAATACGATGTTAGAAAAGTTGATTTAAGTTATTTTTTCTTATATATTTATATAATATATGCAACATTTAGAATTGAAACAAGTTCTAAGAAAACGAAGATNGTGATGTGAATAAAATATTATATATATATTTTTAAAAAAATACATAAATATTCTTCGTACGTTAACAAATTTTGACGTATTTTATCGATTGTTAAACATGATCACACCAGTTAAACACGATCAAATTTTTCTAATCTTTTGTTTTATTATTATCAAATTGTTTCTTGTGTAAGTATTTTTGTAATCGTTCCTCTAAAATTCTCAATGTTTTAGTAATTATAAAGCTTTTTATTAACCTTAATAAACGTTATTTTATTCCAGACAAAGGTAATTTTATACGTAATATTATTATTCCTTTCTGTGGTCGTTAATCATCAGCAATTTGCAAGTAAGTTGGAAATTACTTTATGTAATAAGAAAATAATTTAGTTTATATATTTATTATAATTTCATTTAATTTTTAAGTAGAAAAAAAAATAAAATAAATGCTTTTCTCTCGAGGAAAATACAGGTATTCGCATTGTAGAATATAAAGGAAAGTAGGGCACAAACTTTTATCTAACGTCAAATCTTTACAGATATTATCCTGAATTTTCATTTATATAGAATAAAATAACTTAAAGATTTAAGTTAAAGAAAGGGTGTGCCGTATTTTACGATTAGTAACGAAAGTAAATTGACGGATAGTTCTGTTGTAACGACTTATCCATTGAGTAGAAGTATGAGAGAGAGAGGACGTTGACAGAAGAAAAATATATAATTTTTCTTTGATTTGTCCTAAAAATTTCTTATTTTTTAACTTATTCTTCGATGTCCCGATTAGTGAAGCTCACTTATCATCCATCAAATACGAGTTAAACACAATAAAATTGAAGAAAATCAAATCTTTTATCTATTCATTTGTAAACAGATTAAACGTAACGATAATTGAAAGCAGACCCTTTTTTTCTTTACTTCATTCAACAATAAAATAACATATTTAGGTCAGTTACGTAATGTTTGGTGAGATAATTACAATTAAAATTGAATTTTACATTAATTCGTTATCGATATGACTGTAAAAAAGGTGAGGGGGTGTATATTTTCGGTGTTTATAACCAACCCCCGATTTGTCTGACGGCTTCTGTAATTTCGCGGTGTACAAGAGCGCTCACTCCATCATCCGGATTCTGTACATCCGCATAATCGGGAGTAGGAATCTTGATATCGATTTTGTTCTCGGATCCGGAATATTTACCACAGTTGCTGTGCCCTCGCAGTACGAAATGGTTCCTGTACGAAACAGGAAGCGGAAACGACTTAGGGGATCTCCCCTGTCGTTCTTTAACATCCGACAGAAGATCCGGAGGTAGAGATGCGAACGATTCGTTGGAAACGTGTCCGGAAGTGTGACTACTCGCCGGGCGGAAAAAGAAACCACTAGAATAAGTATCTTCTACGGACGTGATGCCTTTGACCTTCGACCTATTCTCCGACCTGCTACGTGGAGTTCGATGACTTCCGGACTTGCTACTTCTGTCGGCGGATCGGCTACGAGTTTCTGGAACCAAAGCTGGGTACTGCCACGTGATGGCACTATCAGAATCCGATTCGCTGAGAGCCGAATCGTCGTCTCTTCTGGAACCATTTTTTGGTTTCTTGTCGTCCTTGTCAGATACGTAATCGTCTGTGGCCGATCGGAAACCGATGGGTGGTCTAATTGTAGGGATATCGATCAAAATCTCTTCGTTTTCTGCTTGATTATTCTCTTCCGCCATGAAATAGTCGTCGGTTATAGAGCTGTGTCTACCAGAATCTGTCACCACTTCGCTGGAATCACTGGCATTTCCTTTGACCATGCTCAGGGCACTCTACAATATAAGTGTTAAATATATAACTATGATCACGTGGTTGAATTTTTGGCAAATTTCATACATTCATTTGCCATTAACACATAGGAAAAAGCCACGTAAAGACTACAGATCTTAGTTAAATCGTTAAATATTCCTCTATTTTTATAAGAGAAAAACATATTCGAATGTTCATTATTCTAAGTATTAGTAAATGTTATTAAGTAAAATATTAAATTTAAAATAAAATTAAATAGTAAATATCGCATATAAAATAATGAATATTTAGTTAAATTATTGAATATTCTTATTTAAAATGATAAATCTGCAAGTTTATTATCTTAAATGCATTATAAATAAATTAAATAATTACCTGGAAACTGATCTTAAATGATAATTACTAAGATAAACAAACAATATTAAAAATCCAAGACAATTAAAATAGAAAAATAAATATTTAAAAAAATAAAGATAAATATATTTGAGTAATGTTAAAATACTTTATTGAAAGGTGAAATCGCATTTACCACTGGAGAAAGTCAGACAGTTAAAAGTCACCACACCCAGGTCGTGTCAAGCATTATTTTAAAAATAAAATAAACATCTGTCTAACATTTTGATCCGTCTGCAAAGCTCCAGATAAATTATTGACAAGAAAAAAAGTTATATTTAAACTTCAACCTTTTAACATTATTAACTACGTACAGTCGACCCCCCCATAACACTGTTAATTATTCCGTTTTATATGAATTCCATGTTGTACGAGTCACTTAGATTTTACAAATACGTGAGCCGTTCACAGCCCTGTACACGTATTTGTAAAATCTAAGTGACTCGTACAACATAGAATTCATATAAAACGGAATAATCAATAGGGGGGGTCGACTGTACAGTGAAACGTGCCTTTCATTCAACAACACTTACATTCTATATCGGGTGTGAAATGATTACTCTTTATTCTTTATAAAAAATCATATAAAACAATGGTATAATTAAAAATATATAAATATTTATTAATTTATTTACTTTAGTATCTTGTAATTCCTTCCTTAAAATGGTGACTTCTTGATCCAAATCGTCGCATTTTTCTTTGAGCTGTGTGTGTGTGTTTTTTTTAAATTTATTATTATTTTTATTAACACTTCCATTTTTATATTATAATCAGAGTTGGCTCGAAACCCGGATCGACAAGTTTCGAAGGTGGAGAATTTAATTTGATATCAACCTTGATCGAACGAAACGATCGCCTACAGCAATCCTATGTATCGAGTCAACCCAGATTATAATTAAAGACAAAATAAGTAACAAACCTCTCTCTCGATTTGCATTAAACATATTTTATCGTCTTCTAATTTCTATAAAATAAAAAATATATATATTTAACATGTAAAAATACTTATATATAAGTTATATTTAAGCTTTGAAAAGTATGCTTTTACCTTCAGAGCTTTCCTCAATAGTATGATCTATAAAAGGGTGACATATAAATTCATTTTTTACAATAAATTATTCGTATAAAATTTGAATTTATTTAAATTTAAATGTTACCTCTTGTTGTAATTTCACGTTTTCCATTGATAAATGACGTCTTTCTCCCATATCGTTCTCTACGTCGATACAATTTTCTTTCCATTTTTTAATTTCGCTCCAAATTTCGTCGTCACTCGCTACGTTTTTTGCGTGCATTTTCTGTATTAAAACTCATAAATTACTATAAATTTAATGGTTAATTAAATTATTTTAACTAATTTAGTAATTATTTCCAAAAATAAAAGCGATTTAAACAATAAAATATGGATTAATCTTCTTGTAAATTTCACCATAATGCTAAAAAAATCTTAACAAATTAATCCATCCCATCCTTATTTGGATAAAACAAGTAATTTTATACAATTTATCAATAATATTTTATGGGAAAAAAATTCAAAATTGTCAAAAATTTAATTTTTATTTTTACAAAATGAAGAAATTCTTCTTCAATAGTTAAGGACAATCCTGTAAATTTCTGTGTCCTAAAATCATCAATTTTNTTTAAATGACTCGTACAACATGGAATTCATATAAAACGTACTAAAAATATGAAGTCGCAACACTCACAATTTCGATGGCTTTCATATCCAATCCGGCTTCCTCTAGTTCACACTGTAATCTTATTTTCTCTGATAATTTCGGGCATTTTTTAAGTAAAGTATTAAGAAAAGACAAAGTAATCCTCTGTTTAAACACACATACAAAAAAAAAGTAGAAGTTATAATGGATTAAAACGTATAAATCGCATTAAAAAAAAAAAGACATGATTAGAATACCTCAAATCCGGGAGGAGTAGTTACATTTCCATTCAAGATGGCCACCAAAAATTTAAATCTGACAGACTCTCCATAAATAACTCTTATTTGAGACATAGCTTCTAACACTTTGTTATAACCACGAGAGCTTGTGTTACAACATTTAGTAAGTAACTATAAAAGATGATAAATTACACTTTTATGATTTTAATTTGGATATAAAAATATAAATAAATTTTATAGCTTAGTTTAAAGATCACGTTTTATAGAAATATCGTTTTATCTGATGAATAATTTATAACGTTTTTTTTTCTTTAAAAGAATAAGGATAGAAGTTGTATTTTAAGGCTGTTAAGATCTACAGTTTAGGGATTAAGTAATAAAGTAAATTAGATTTAATATTGTTACGTTACGAGCGAATTGACTTCAAAAAAATCCAAATTGTAATCATACCTCTAATGCTACTAGACGAGACTTACTGTAATTACTCATAATGCAATTAGCTATGGTAGAAAGTCCATCGTTATGTTCTGTCATTTCTTCGATTGCTTTCTAAAAATATTGAAAAACAAATTAAATTTTCATCATTAAATTTTATAAAAAATTCAAAAAAAAAAAAATACACTAACCGAAGATCCGGAAATTAATTTTAAACACAGTAAACAATCATATTCTTCCGTCTGTTAAATAAAAAAAAAATGTAACTAGTAATTATAAAATAAAGTAACAGTTATCAAATATCGAGTGTAGTATCATTTATAAAAATAAAATAAAAAAAAAAGCATTAAATTATGGGTCTTTTGTAGTTGTGTACTTAACAGATATACATTACACAGGAGCATGCCTTTCAATTATATATCTATAACAATGGTTTAATAAATATCTAAGTAAAAAAAACAAACTATGGTGTATAATAACCTATGTGGTCGTACGATGCTAATAAGAAAGGGGGTAAAAAAAAAGTAAATTAAGTATAGCTCTATTAAATAGAAGAGCCATTTGTTCCCAACAATAACATGTCGTTCGTTTACCTGGGAATCTGTTGATAGTATCGTTTCCTGTTACGGGATTGTCAGCAGAACAAAGTATTATAAAATATTAATTACTATCAATTGAAAGAGAGAGTGAAATTATACGTAAAAAAAATTCAGTTTTATAGTCTTATAACGAATCGATTCCTTATTATTTTTGTGTAAGATTTACTCGAGTGACGTTTAGAAAAGTATCTTTAAGAGTCATTCTAAAAGACTTCTCACCCCAGGCAATTACTAGAAGAGGTCGTTCACATCGTTAAATTACTTAAAATTTTGAGAAAGTTTTACCCATTATGAAAATGATTACGTTGGTTTTTTTTTATTGATTTCTATCTTCTTTATTTTTAAAATATTAATGTTAATTCTATTATATTGAAGACATACCAAAGAACGTTTTAAAGAATATTGTTTGTCTCTGGATGTGTGAGTCTTGTCTCGTTTCTCGGGACACAAACGAAGAAGATCCAACAACCATTTCACACCTCTGTTAGTTTCGTTGATAAATTCGTCGATAAAACTAAAAAATTTTTAAGTAAATATACTTTTAAAATATACTTTTTTTAAATTTTAAGGATTTTCTTTTCTTTTTACCTTTTGGAACTTCTGAGATCTTCTTTTAATCTTTGTAATATTTCGCATATTTCGGGGATGTTCTTAGTCGTGCTCCTATCTGTTGCATCTTGATTATTATCAGAACGAAGATGATGCCTCAGTAGATAGATATAATCAGAAGAATTTAGATTCTAAAAAAAAAATAATTACAGTCTTATGAATATTTAAACGAATTTCTTAATAGTTAAGAACAGTATAAACAGTATTGTTTGAGTAATAAATATTTGCCAATACTCAACAGTAAAGACTTGTGTTTGTGGGCCAATAGTTTACAACTATACACAGAACAATTCTCGCATTTAAGAACTTAAAACTATGATATATAAACTATTCTTAACAGTAAAGAATGGTATACAGTCGACCCCCCCCTATAACACTGTTGATAATTCCGTTTTATATGAATTCCATGTTGTACGAGTCAGTTAGATTTTACAAATACGTGAGCCGTTCACAGCCCGGCACACGTATTTGTAAAATCTAAGTGACTCGTACAAAATGGAATTCATATAAAACGGAATTATCAACAGTGTTATAGGGGGTCGACTTGTATTTATTTCCGTGTATTACCTTAACAAAACGGTGTAAAATTTGATAGAAAGATTAACAATTTCGTGCTAAACGAAGCGAAAGAATTTTTTTACTCGATCTAATTACATAATTTCCTCGAAACGTTACTTAAGTTCGGCAATTTTCTTAAATTATATTGTATAAATATAGAAGAACGAAAATTCATTTAATTATAAATAAAATTTCTTTAAGTAAAGTTACAATTTACAGAGGAAGATTGAAGGAGGGAGGAGGGGGAAAAACTCTTAACAATTCTTTAGTCAATTCATTCTCATGTAAATTCTGAATTAAGAATGCGGACAAACCTTTTTATCTAAGACAAAGAACGATATTTATACACCATATTGTATATAGAAATGTTATATTATTGTTTAGAAGGTTAAGGACTGTTATTAAACAGAGGAAAAAAAAAAAAAAAACATTTCACCTTGGTTCGAAAACTCACACAATAAGTTCTAATTAGATAAAAGGTCGGTGGGTTATTTTATTTATAGACGTGAGAATTAAAAATTGTAGGCTAATATTTAATAAGTTAAAATGATAAAAAATCACTCATCCTTAAAAGACAAAACATCATTTTATAAAAAGAACAGAACACCCGTCGATAAACTATTAATAATTATATTTATTGAAGCAATCAATAATTATATTATTTCCGTCTTTGCTGCAATTCTTCCGCTCCGTCGAGCAGCGAATATCTGACAATTTTAATTATTTCGTTAGAAAAATATAGTTAAAATTCGAATATACAGGCCTATATATATATTAAAAATTTACCTTGTGAGGGTACACCTTTCCAACTAAGTAACCTTGAAGATGTCGTTTCCTATCTTCGTCTTCCGGTAACATGGTGTTACTATCGGTAGCGTACTTGAATGATAAGATTAAAAATAATTATTTTAAAAATATAACTAAAATAAAAATAAAGAAAACAATAAGTTCAACGAAGCATAAGGATAATTAGCGAGAGAGAAATTCTTAAGTAACTTCAATAGGAAACAATGAAATCATTGAAGAAAATACCACAAAGAGACGGTTGTGTACGAGGAAAAGTGCTTACATAATGATGCTAATGTCGAAAGTACGGCTCCATTCAAAAAAAAAAATAAATAGATAAAAATCGAGTTTTGAAGCTCTTAGAAAGCGAAAAGAAACAACTTTCTACGAAGCCAGAAGCATTTTAGGTGCGGAGAAATAGCAAACCCAGTACAAAAGTCCCAAACGAGCTGTAGGGGAGCTTCGAGCGAGATCAGATGATGATGATGCGATAGGTAATGCCCCCGAGTGAGATGGGCCGAGGCCAGTGACTACGAAATGTGAATGCCCTTGAAAGACCAACAATGGGCGATAAATCTGTCCGAGAAGGATGCGGCTAGACATGTCACTGTGTTAGTAAATGCTAGTTACATATAATACGATCGGACTAACACAATGAACCACTTCTTCGTCATCTTCATCATGCTAATTATGCACGAGACGATTTGAAAAGACTGGTTCTTCTTCGGATGCCATTCACGTAAAGGGCAAGAACAATGATATTGCCATAGAAAATGGTTTTCTGACGTTGAAATGTAGTATTGTACATTATAATTATTATATTCTAATCCGCAGAACAGGATGTAAAGACAATTTTCTACGTAATTGCTACTTTTTTTTTTAAATGTCATTACCATCGTGGCGTTTTTAAATGTTTAAGTACTACTCCATGATTAATTATGTGACCAAACTTGACCTATTTACTAAAAATGAAATATGAATGCAAATAATCTTTCTTCCGATTGAAATTACCAGTTTAAAAACTCTAAAAATTAAATAAAGTCGAAGACATCTCAACTGCACTTCTACCGAGGACATATCTTTATACGTAACGAAAATAGACAATGAATCGTATAAATCTAACATTTGTAAAGGTTTAAAATAACTACAAGAAGCCTTAAAAAAAGGGCATTAAAAACAAATTTAAGAAAAATCACAAGGGGATGATTATACAGTAATAAACTTTAGTTAAATATAGTATTTAATTACTTTTTATCCTCCATTAACTAATTTTAAACAAATTTTTCAAATGCCACAATAGTAATTAAAACTTTTTATTTTTTTACAATATACTTTTCACATATTATATACAAAATAAAAATATATTAATATTTTTTTTTGTGGGTTGTAATGCATGAAATTTTGAATGAGAAAAAGAACTGTTCCAAGTGAGTAATTATTTAGGTTAGATGCTGTACCCAAAAAAAAGTGCTTGCAACGTTTATTATATTATTATTATTCCTACTGAGTCATTTCAATGAATATATATATATAAAACAAATAAATAAATAAACGATATATTATAATATCTTAAATAACTAAAAAATTCGGTCATACACTTAAAAAAATTTAATGCACTTATTGAATTTATTTATTAAATTGATACATTAAAAACAATTACATTTATTATTTAGGGAATATTTTAGAATATTAAGAGGTCATAACAGACAAAATTTCGACACCAATTCCTATTTCTAAGAAGATAATAAGCACTTCCTTATTGGTAACTATTTACAGAGGATATAGAAAATCCGATATTGTCTCTCACTTAACAATACCCGAAACTTTCTTAACAAGAATGCAATACGACAAGCCATTAAAATATAAATAAAGAAAACAGAGTCGAGATATAGAAACAGGATTTTCGACCCCATTTTTCAGGGTTAAACGTTTTCGTAACAGAACATATAATATTTTACGAAATATCACCGAAAACTTTTACATTTACTTCAAGAAATCTTTGTTAGAAAGGGTATTATAACAAAGTAATTAAAAAAAAAAAAATACGACTAAGTCATTAAACGTTGAAAGTACATAAAGAGAGTGAGTAACGAGTAGGTGCGGAAACATCAAAGTGATAAAAACTTACTTTAAGGTTGTTGAGAGGGTCGTAATTTAGTAAAGAAGGTGAAATTAATACCCGATGACCTTTTCTATTAAGTATTTGTAAGAAAATTGGAGAAGAAAAGAAAAGACGAGGTACTCACCGTATACATTCTGTGTTTATTGTATGGAGGGATAAATAAAATCGAGGGACAGACCGTTGAACACAAGTTATTTTCCTAATACGAGTGAATGTACCATTTCCTGATATTTTCAGTATTTTCCGCGTAAATCCAAAAATCCGGAAACATCTTACCCTCGTTATCGGGTCAGTTTTAGCAGTTCAATAAGCTGATGCAGCATAAAAATAGGGCAAATAAATTTTTTTTTTTGGTAGAAAATCTTCAAAAAAAAAAAATATACTCTTTTCCTCCCTCATATTGTTTACAGTTTAACAATAACTATTACTCGAATCTTAATCCCGTGAACAGAAGAAGAAAAAAAAAATGTAGAACAAGGTTTGATCTATAAAGTTTATTAGTATCTAAACTATCAATAACCTAAATGGGTTATATTTACCTCGAAACACATGAAAAATTCTACTTGTATACACTGAAAATTCTACTTGTATATTGAAAATTCTACTTGTATACACTGAAAATTCTACTTGTATACTGAAAATTCTACTGAAAGGTACGTGAATTTTTAATGAAGAAATACAATCGTCGATACAAAAATATACTTTAAATTCTAAAAAAAAAAATTCGAGAAGGGAATTGGGAGGAGCCAGTGTTCCGCCCTTCAATTTATTATTATTATTATTTTTTTTTTAATTGGGTAAATTTCCGGCAGCCAAACGTGATCGGATTTTTAATTAATTCCCTTCTTCGTCTAATTTTTTAAAAACTTAAAAAAAAAACAATAAATAAAAGTAAAAAAATTCAAAATTTCCCGTAAATTCTTTCTATAAAATACAAAAAAACACGTCAAAATCGATACAGTGTGCAAGACAGAAGAAGAAAAAAACAATTAAGACAAACCGACACACAGACGGTCTTTAGTAAAAATTATTTTAAAATCTTCATTTATAAAATAATTAAAAAAAAAAAAATAAGATTTACTTACGATAAAAATATAATAAAATATTTATATATTTTCCTTTAAATATCCTTAATAATCCGAGCGAATCTTGCACATTTCAAAGGAACGATAAAGAATAATATACGAGATATTCACACATCCATAATAACCTTGTTAGAATAGTTGCACTCTGCCGTCAGCCATTTTATATATAGTCAGTGTAAATGGCCGCATGGGGTCACGTGGTATGTCCTGCCGAGATTTTCTTAGTTCCGCGCTGTTTGCTTACAGTTTGTTAAAGCGATGGTTGTGATCACACCCCGTAAATACGTGATGTAATACTTAAATTTACAAAAAAAAAAAAAAAAAAATTCAAATAATCTAGATCGAGTCATTCTTAATAAATTTAACCGTAGATAAATTTATATGACACGTTACTTAATTGGAGGTATCAGGAAGTAAAAGTTGTGTGTTAGACGTAACAACACAGACACACGTTTTTAATGAAGTTTAAAAGGTATATAACGTTCTTTTTTTAAAGGTTTTCTAGCTAATTAGGAGCTGTAATGTCGATCCAAATCGGTAGTACCAAGCTACGATGTCGGAATTTTGTAACTGCTTCAGAATAACAATTGAATAGTTCGCTTTCTTTGGCATTGTTTCCCCTAGCAATGTTGCTAAGTTGTTATTAAATTTTCAAGTCTGTTTCTTCTATTGTAAGATATGAGATCGCTACGAGATGGAAAGTCACGCCAACCTCCACTAGAAAGTGACCCTTAGGTAATTTTTATTCGAAACTTCCCCCCCACCCCTCTCAACGTTCTCGACTCCCTACTAGACTTTTAGAGTATTAAATTTTATATACTTTCTAAGGGAATTTAAATATATATATACGTGTGTTCAAAACAAAATAAACTATTAACTTGGAGGCATTCAATTATCTTAAAGTGTTCAAGTGCATTCACACTGCGATGGTTTTTAAAATGAAAAATAAAATAAATAAATAAATGTGGGGGAAAAAAAGCATATTCTTTCGATGCTTACGTGCTGTTTAGTCTGTCAGGTGACTACGTATAATTACCGGAGTGGAAAAGAGTTCTGAGTTTTGTAATCCCAAGAATTGTGGTTCGATAAAAACAAGAAAAGTACAGGAAGATATATTTTTCATAGTAGATGACATTGCTTTCTTCTCGTAGCCTGGAGCTGGTGGGGGATGACACTGACCCGTACGGCACCACCACACAAAAGTCGACTCACCAAGAAAAAAAAAATAAAAATAAAATAAAAATGTACAAAGTGGTCCTTGACCTCCACTTTTACTATCATACGACGAGAAATTACGTTTATTTTCAAGTAAAAACATCACCAAAAACACATTTTTTTGGTGATATATTTACACACGAAACCATTAAACAATACAGAAGAATCTAATACACACCCCCACCGTTTATTTAAAGGAAAATTTAAAGGTATATAAGCTCATTAAGAAGTATTGTAAGGTGGGTACTATTTATATATTCATCTTATTAACGGTTTAAAGAGGTGAAAATGGATACAGATCTCTACTGACATTGATACAGATACAAAGCTTTCATTTTAAGAGCATTATGTCTTTTGAAGCGTGTGTTTTTTTTTATATAGGAGTTGGCTAATTAATATCACCGTCGGTAGTCGAAACTAATTAAAGTGGGAGTCGTTTGAAGGTAGTGAGAAAGGAGTAGAAAAGCAACCAACCAAAAAATCCCATTATAGAGAAAGATATAGAAACGAATGTGGTAATGAGAAGATATTGATTATTTCCTCGAAGGTACGTCGATCATGACGTGGGAACAGCAGTCATCAACCTCTAAAGCTGTCAGATTCTCTTCATCTTTTCACAAGAAGCTGTATGATTAATGAAGATATAGCGAACTTACTACGTGATGAATAAT